AACATTGGAAAAACTGAAACTGGTGTGTCCATTTGTTGCTCCATTTGTTGAAAGTATGTTTGTCCATCTGTTGACCATTTGTTGACAACTTGTTCAAAACTTGCTGAAGACCTGTGAAGAACTTGTTGAAACGTGTTGAGAACGTGTTGAAACGTGTTGAAAACTGTTGAAAGGTGTTGAAAATTGTTGACCTTTCATAGAACGTTACGTTCTGTGTTGGGGGAAAAAATCGAAATTTTTGGCTCTTGTCGTCGGTTTTCGCGGTTTATTCCCGTCCTTTTCTCCTGCTGCACGATACGCTATGCTCTTTTGCAAATGTCAATCGTTGAGTCTTTCAGTACTCCTGACATGCAATGACCACAATGACTGAAGATAACGAGAGAGTGCCAGAGAGAGAGCTGCAAGCAAGGTTCACTACTGCGTGACACAAATTCACCGTTATGGCAGTGCGAGAGGGAGAGTGGCACGCAGTAGTCAACCTTTGTTTTTGATTGGTGCTCGAATGCGGTATTTTCATTTTGCCGATGGACGCGTGAGGAAGCGTCGATTAAATGCTGAGCTGCCCTGCTACAAGCACGGTTCACTACTGCGTTATACAAATTCACCAACATGGCAGTCCGCGAGAGAGAGTGGCACGCAGTAGCCAACCTTCCTTTTCGAGTCTGTAGGATTGCTGTAGTTCATTGTATGGACGGACGCGTGTGGGAGCGTCAATTAAATGCTGAGATGCCCTGCTACAAACTCGGTTCATTACTGCGGGCCACAAATTTACCAACATGGCCGTCCGCGAGAGAGAGTGGCACGCAGTAGCCAACCTTCCTTTTCGAGTCCGTAGAATTGCTGTGCTTCATTCTATGGATGGTATGAGAGGAGCCTCAGTTAAATGTTGAGCTGCCCTGCTACAAGCAGGGTTCACTACCGCATGAGGGAGCCTCATTTAAATGCTGAGCTGCCCTGCTACAAGCACGGTTCACTACTGCGTGACACAAATTTAGCAACATGGTGGCATGAGAGAGAGAGTGGCATGCACTAGCCAACCTTGCATTGACGACAACCACGGATGGTGTTTTTTTCATAACATAGTCGCTCTATGACCAATCACACAAAGATGAGCATTACACGGGATTGTACAATTGTGTATCATAAATAACAGACCATATGCTGTAAAGTGACTGTTCAAGTGCCATGGTTCAGAGTCTTTATCTCCTCGCCTCTCTCTCTCTCTCTCTCTCTCTCTCTCTCTCTCTCTCTCTCTCTCTCTCTCTCTCTCTCTCTC